CGAGTTACTCTTTTCCCTCCTACTCAGGCCCCACCCAGTCCTCTGCTCCTCCTGTCTTCTAACCGGCTAAACCAGGCAGGTAATCCCTGTTGCTTTCATCCAAAAGTCCATACTCCCTGGCCTGATCACCACATAACCACACCCAGCTCCTTAAACATTTTCATCATCACTCCCCATTCAGGTCAGTTGCCTTATTATCCCTGTGGGGTTTACCATGCAAATTCTTGCCTTCATGAGTCTGTTCTTTTTTGTCCTCCACCTGGAATGTTCTCTGCCTTTCCAGATCCTATGTATCTCTTAGCCCTGCTTTGAGTCTTGCTTTTCCACTTACCCTTCTCTAGCTACTGTTAGTCCAGGTGGATCCGAGCATTTTCCTGAGATTTCCTGAATCTACATATAATGGATGGTCAATTATGAGGTGTATTGTTTTCTTATACTTTGATCTTGTTGCTGTGTCATTACATGTTCCTATACATATTACAGTGTTTGATACATAATACCCAAATGCACTTCTTAAAAAAGATTTTTGTAATTGAGGTATAACTGACATGTATTCGTGTCAGATGTACAACGTAAAGATACTGTAGAGTGCTGTGGGAGATTATATAGGAAGGTTCGGAGCATCAGACAGATGGGAGGAGCCAGGAGAAAACTTAATACTGAATATAGTTTGTAGTGCTGATTTCTTGGTCTTAAACTGGGAATAGGAACTAGTAAATGTCCAAACTTGATATCGTACCCCTTTAATCTCTCAGGATGTCTGGGTAGAATCTGCCTCTTAATACTGCTCTGAGGCTTGACTCCTGTTCGTAACTTTGGAACAGGACTGGTAAGAAAGACCCTGACTGCTGCTGGTTGAGCTGGGTCCTGCCCCTTTCTTACTGAGAATAGACAAGCAGTATGTATCTCTGCCGAAAAGATTTTATTGTCATATGGCTTACACAGATGAGCGTTCCTGATAACCTAATTATTGAGATAAGAATGGCCCACAATCAACTAGTCTCAGACCCCAGTTAGAGCTTTAGGCTGATATCTTCTCACAGTTAATTGGCTTTTGTATACCTGAGGTATATTTTGCAAATTTGTCATAGAGAAACTCCTAAAAAGTTGCATAAGATTTAACATAGAGGCAAGAATAAAGCAAATGGAATATTAGACTTTTAGTATTTTATTATACTGTAGTCATGTAAAAACTCACCCTGTAATTATAATTACAGGAGACTAAGGAAGTACCTTTACACAATGACTTTCTGGGATTTGTCTTGATGTGTCACTTTTGTATCCTATGGTGTAATAATTGGGAACACCTTACCTAACCTAACATCTGTCTGAAGGCGGTTGTTTGGGATATGCTGGACTATTTTATGTCTTACTAACTTGTAGGAAATCATACCAGTAGGCTCTGTTTTCATCCTTATATAGATTCTTTTCAGTTGTGGGATATATGAAATTTTGTATTAACCGGTTGGAGAGGGAAAAATTAGAGACCTTCATACCAATTTAGATTTGACCATTTTTTTTTTAACTTTTTATTTTGAAATAATTATGGATTCACAGGAATTTGCAAAACAAAACATACAGGGAGATCCTCTGTACTTTGTGTATGTGTTTGTGACCTGTGTAGCTTCCTAGAGTCACTACCACAACTGTTCCAGAACCATCCTATCACCACAGGGTTCCCTCATGCCACCCCTTTATAACCACACCTTTCCCCTCTTCCCTGGCCACCACTATTTAGTTCTCCAGCTTTGTAGTTTGTTATTTGAAGAATGCTATATAAATGGAATCATGAGGGTGTCTGGGTGGAGCAGTTAAGCCACTGACTCTTGGTTTCAGCTCAGGTCGTGATCTTGGGGTCGTGAGATCGAGCCCTGAGTGGGGCTCCACACTCAGCACAGAGAATGCTTAGAATTCTCTCTCCCTCGCCCTCTGTCCCTCCCCCCAAGATAAATAAATAAATCTTTAAAAACATAAATAAATGGAATCATGTAGTATGTAACCTTTGAGTTTTGGAGTTTTTTCACTGCATAATTTGGACATTTATCTACGTTGTTGCATATGTGAGTTTGCTTCTTTTTACTGCTAAGTAGTATTTTATGGTATGGATATAGCACAGTTTGCTTAATCAAAGAGGGACATCTGCATGGTGTCTAGATTCCAGAGCTGTTATGAATAAAACTGTTGTGACCATTCATGTGTCAGTTTTTGCACAGACATGTTTTCATTTCTCCTGGTTGTAGGCAGAATGTGGGAATGCGGTTGCTGGGTCATACAGTGGTGGTGTGTTTAGTTTTTAAGAAACTGCTCCATTGTTTTTCACAGTGGTGTACCATTGACTTCTGTTTGATGAAAATATTTTGTAGCCTGGGTGGTTCAGTCGGTTAAGCGTCCTGACTCTTGGTTTCGGCTCAGGTCATGATCTCAGGGTCGTGGGATTGAGCCCCGTGTTGGGCTCCACGCTCAGTGGGGAGTCTGCTTGAGGTTCTCGCTCTCCCTCTGACCCTCCCCCGACTCATGCTTTCTTTCTCACTCTCTAAATAAATGGAATTTTTTTTAAAAACGAAAATATTTTGTAGGATAACATTTTTTTAAATTATTTATTTATTTGACAGAGAGAGACACAGCGAGAGAGGGAACACAAGCAGGGAGAGTGGGAGAGGGAGAAGCAGGCTTCCCGCTGAGTGGGGAGCCCAATGCAGGGCTCGATCCCAGGACCCCGGGATCATGACCTGAGCCGAAGGCAGACGCTTAACGACTGAGGCACCCAGGTGCCCAGGATAACATTTTTATAATATGCAATGTATCTGCTGATTTTGGTAGCACACTTTTGCCATCAATATATCTGGTTGCTGCTACTGATCTGAGGGGCAAAATGGCATTTCCCGATAGGCTTTGATTTAGGTCACCAGTCGTTTTGATGGTCTTAATGCTTGAAGGAAACTCCCTTGGCTTTCACAAAACCCACACTAGCTGCCCAAGTGAACCTCTCTTCTCTCTCTTCCTATTCCTGGAGAAGAGTTAGCCCCATACCTGGGCCCTGAATCCTATCTATAGAGAGCTTCTTTTCTTCCTTGTCTTTAGACCCACCCATCTTATTGGTTTCTGCCTAAGTATTTAATCATGCTCAGTTCTCTCCTATCTTGAAATTCCCTTCCCTTTGACCTCGTCCACTACTTCCCTATCTGGCCACTCTTCCCACGCTATACCTCTTGACTCTGCTGACTCCCATTGCTTTGTCTTCCCCTCACTTCCCACCGTACAGTACTGTAATCTCAGCCTCCCTGGGTGACTACACTGACATGGGCTTGCTGATGTCACCGGCAGCCTTCTTGTAGCTCAGTCTGATGTCGGTGTCTCAGTGTTCTTACCCGACCTCTGAGTAGCATTCATTACCCATGCTTACTTTCTCTTGGTAGAAACACTTTTTCCTTGGTCTGCTACCTCCTTGGACTGCTGCTCCTAATTGTCCTTTGCTGATGTCACCCCCTCTGCACATCCCTTAAATCTTGGGTTTGCTCAGAGTTCTGCATGAAGCTGGCTTTCCTCATTCTGGGTGATCTCACTGGCCGATGGCCACGTCTTATCTCCACCCTAGTCCTCTCCCCTGAGCTGCAGACCTGTATATCCTTTTGCCTCCTAGACACCTCCCTTAACTCTTTTGCAGCCCCCTCATACACAGCACATTTAAAACAATGTATTCTCTTCCCAGCATCCTTGCCTCTTAAAAAAAAAAAAGACAAGAAAGAACCTCGACTCTTTTTCCTGCAGTGGAGCTCCAGTATGTTAGTACCTTATATACAACAGTGGGAGTGCTATTAAATCCCACTTGCTTGCATTTAATTGAGTTGCCGAATTCACCGGACCTTACCATTGTGCATTCAGTGCACTGCATTCTGACCCACGCCTGTCTGAGCACTTTTGCCTCTGCCGTCAGTTGACTTGGGTTATTCCCACTACTACCAATTATACTTTTTATGGTCAGACATTTAATTAAATACCACACAGACTGAAATTGAGTGGGAAAAGGAATTGTTTTTGTGAAAACTAAGTTGAATGCTTTGGAAAGTCCAGAAAATAAATTACTAAAATATTTGCTGTGGAATTAAGTGAGAGCAAGGTAACCGTAAAGGGCTAGTAAAACTAGTCCAAATCTAGAAGGATTCTGCCCTCCGCTTCTCAAGTGTCCAAGATCTTGCTCCACTTCAACTAAATATTAGTCTGCAAGTGGTAATTATAGATGATGAAAGTGATTAGTGCAGAAAACATGACGTGGAATTCCAATCAGTAGGCTCAAACCCAGAGAAAAGCCCTATTTCCAAAGATTGGTGAATAAACGTGCCTTTTTGCTTTAAGTTAAAATAAAGCATTCACGTCTGTTATCTTGTTTCCTACTCTGTTTGTATTGGTCCTGATAAGGGCTTCTGCCGCTTCTTGCCTCTCGCAGTGATTGCAGGGACTGTTCTCCATCACCACTACCCAGCTCACTGTCTTCCCCTGGTTTCTTCCATCAGCTTCCCAACTGGAAGCCTGAATGTTCGCCCCTTTGCTTTAAAACCCTTACAATCCAGATTTTTTTTTTTTTTAAACTAAGAAACGAGGATATTTAGACCTAGCCTCCGCTTACCTCTCTAGTCTCGTCTCATCATTTTCGTGCTGCCATCCCCTTCCTTCACACTGGGTGCTTGAACCATGTTGACTGAACTCTCTCTCTCAGCTCAGTGGGGGTGGTGGGATCTCCGTGTGCTTTGGGGCGGGAGGGTGCCAGCAACACCCCGTATTTTCCCCAAGTCTAGCGTTTAGCACTGGGTAGTTAATTATTTGTGTACGTGGATTCCCTTCAAGGCAATCAGATTGTGAAGTTCTGTAGAGATGGGGTCCAGTCAGTAATCGTGTTTGCCACAGTCCCTACTTTCCAGAGAGTGGAGTGAACAGATGAGTGTTCTGAATGCTGTAGGTTTCTCTGGAAAATACTCGAGTAAACAGCTTGGTTTCTTTTGCAGTTGCTGTCCCTGCTGGCCTTTGTCTGCGAGGAAGTCGTGTCACAGTGTACACTGTGTGGAGGACTTTACTTTTTTGAATTCGTGAGCTGCAGTGCCTTTCTTCTGAGTCTCCTCATCCTGATTGTGTACTGCACTCCCGTTTATGAGCAAGTCGATTCTACCAAAGTCAAGCAGTCGGTAAGCGTGGGAAAAGTAGAATCCCTTTACAAAGAACATGGCTCTTTTGGAATCTTGCGTAGTTTTACTCTTCAGAAGAGTGCTGCTTTCAGAACTCCGTAGCACGAGGAGATGCTCTATGGTTCCAGTTCTGCTCCTGAGCAGCTCCCATTTTCCCTGCCAAGCAGGGTGGCAGAGGGTGAAAGTGAAATAAGAAAGGGGGAGACAGACGCGGTCAGGGGTTTACAGCTAATTGGTGGTTTAATCTCATTCACACGAGGTATTTATTTTTATTTATTTATTTTTTTTAAACGCGAGGTATTTTTTAAAAACTAGGATTTTTGTCCCTTCTGATTTCTCACATTTCAGAGCGTCACTCTTGGGTTCTGCAGTTGTCCATTGTGTACCTGCTCTGCTCTGGGTATTATGCTAGACATTAGAGAGAGTGATGAACTAATGTGATGTATTTCTGGAGCTTTTCAAATAAAGCACCACATAATGCTGCCTATTTTGTTTTGATTTTTATATTATGAAAGAAGTTATCAGTGAGTGAATTCAGGCACTTGTTGAATTCACTGTTCAGAAATTTCCCTTTTAATGAAAGCGCACATGAGAATTTTATTTTCACAGAATCAGTGATGCATAACTTTCTACAGACAGTCTGCTGGTGCGCGTGTTTGAGTATAGTGTGGATTTGTGAGATGACACATGAGGTGATTCACATGTTTACTGCACTTGAAGAAAGAATTGAGCAGTTTCCTTCTTCAGTAGTGTTGGAACTAATAGTGGTTTGTGACAAATTATACATGTCAGGGTTGACATATAAAAGCACTCACACCTCTGAGGGAAAAGATACAAATTAGGGTGAGTTTTTAACTATTAAGAACGGAGGATAACAAGATCAGTACAAAGCAGTAAGATTCTGTTAATTTTTTAAATTAATGCAAAGTAAGCGTCGGGTCAGATATTAACATACACCTAAGAGATTTACTTTTTTCTATATACACTTCGGTGCCTTTTAATCTGGTGCTCTAAGAATCCGTTACCTTCTTTTAACAGAATATTTTAAGTTTAAAAATTAAAAAGCAAAAAAAAAGTTGATACCACAACAGTTAAAAAAAATAACCTTGAAAAACAGATTGGAGCTGAATCACATCCACCAAGCCTTTGATGAGCACATACATGCAGCTCTTGGTATGGCAGATACAGGACTGACCCATTACCCTTCCTGATAATAGTTGCTATCAGCACGGACTTGCGCCAGACACTTAATGTACTGTGATTTAGAATCCTCACACCATAATGCTCCATTTTCCTGTTGAGGAAATTTGGGTTCAGAGTGGTTACATACCTTGTCCAAAGTTACACAGCTAGGGTAAAAATAAACTGAGACTGGAACCCAGGAAAGCCCTCAACACTCGGCATTCCATTCTCTGGCCTCCCCCGAGTCCTGCTGGTACCAGCGCCCTACCAACTTTTGATGCTGTCATGGCAAATGTCATCACCTCAGGGATCTCCCTGTAATGATGACAATAGCAGAACCCATTTATTGTATGGAATGCATATTAAGAGGATGCAGAGAATAGAATTTTTGTTAATTTTATTTGTAATCTTTGTAACTTCTTCCTTTTTACAGAGAGGTATTCGGTAAGATTTTTGGATGAGTGAAAAGTTTACTAGTATATTTGAGCTGATTGATTTGTAGTTCCAGTGTATAAATTTATATTTTAAACATTAAAGGTCGAAATTATTGGCGAAACAGTATCACTGTCCATAAAAATACTTTTGGAAATGTTGAGTCTTAAGTGTTGCATCTGTCATGTTTAAGAACATTGATCTTTTGACAAGAAACATTGATCTTTTTGACAAGAAACAATATTTTCCAGTTTAATGGTTTAACTAAACTAAACAAAATGTAAAACATTTATTACATCAGAGGAGCATTTAAAAGTAATTTAAAAAAACATTATTTTAGAGTAAGTACTGATCTTAAAATATTGGAGCGGGGAATAAATCAGTCATTTCATCCTAAAACAGCTTTTGTCAATATTCTACTATATCTCTTTTGGGTCTTTTTTGTCTCTTCATAGGTGATTAAGAGTCATATAGGCTGTACTTTGCACCTAACATAAGGATTTCATGTTTGTTTAAAAGGCTTAAAAATCACTTTTACTCTCAACTATTAATGTACTTAAATACTTTTTAATGTCAGAGAAGTTTTCTGTTTTACAGAAAATGTTTTGAGAGGGCGATGGTGGTGGTAGTGCCCAGGGAGTGGGAGGGATAAGCTTTTTGAAGGGAGAATCTTTTCTGTTCCATGCTGTTGTGGCTCAGATTCTGTCAAGAGTAACAACAGCCAACACTTATGGGACATTGACTGTGTGCCTAGCACTGATCTAAGCACTTTCTACCGATTAACTCTAATCTTTAGAATCACCTCTGAAGAAGATACTGACTGTTATTACTCCCATTTTGCAGATGAAGAAACTAAGGAAGACAGATGTTAAATAACGAATTCAAAGTCAATAGAGCCAAGAAGTGGCATAACTGGGATTTGAACTCAGATAGTCTGGTTCTAGAATCCATGTTTCTTGAACACCACATTAGTCTGCCTCAAAATGGTTGTCTTGTTTAATACCTCCTTGAATGTACTCCAGATATTAGTAAATGGAATTTTATTTGTATGTCACAGATTTGAAATAATATTCAAAGGAAAAGGAAAAACAGAATATTGCAGAAAAACCACCTCTTTTAGAAGCAAAGAGAAAATCTCTTAATTTGTTTTATAAATGTTAAGTGTACAATTGACAGTATAGGAATTCTCTATTGGGTGGGTTATTGATACTAGGTTTAGTGGAGATTGCACTTCAGAAAACCCCAAAAGTATCAGACTTAAAACCCTTTGGAATGGCCATCATTTTACCAGTTTCTCCTCTGAGTCAAGTGTGCATGTCAAGCACTGGTTTCATTTGGCATCTGAGAGGAGCCTTACAAGAGTGTGCCTGAGAGAACCCTTGGAAACCCAGGGAGAACTTCATGTCATGAGCTACATTATGCGGAGATATGGAAGCTTTTGTAGAGTAGATAAACTCATGATACAAGCTCATTTTGGGTTACTCACTTGGAACAATTGGAAGCAATATGTTATTGCAGAAAGCTTAAGTGTCCAGAAAACATACTATTGGCATATTTTATGTAGTTAATGACAGGTGGTTCTTCTGATTCTCTCTTTTCCAGAGTGCTTTCAAAGCACTGAAGTACCCTCAGAGAGGCCATCCTAGCATAGAATACAGATCTTCCTCGACTTACAATGGGGTTATTACATCCCAATAAACCCGTCATAAGTTGAAAAGACCCTGAGTCAAAAGTGCATTTAATACACTTAGCCTCCTAAACGGCATAGCTTAGCCTAGCCTACCTTCAGTGTGCTCAGAACACTTATAAAACCTGCATTTGGGCAAAATCATCTACCACAAAGGCTGATAGTAAAGTGTTGACTCATATAATTGGATACTGTACTGAAAGTGACCAGCAAAATGGTCGTGTGGGTACAGAAGGGTTGTCAGCGTACCTGTTGTTTACCCTCGTGATTGGTGGCTGACCAGGAGCTGCTCCCACTGCGCAGCATCACAATGGAGGATCGTCCCACACAGTGCTAGCCTGAGACAGCATCCAAAGTCACAGTTTGAAGTACAGTTTCTCCTAAACATGTAACATTTTTGCAACATTTAAAGTTAAACATCATAAGTACAACCATTGTAAGTCAGGGGCCATCTGTACTTTGAAAGGGAAGAAAAAAATTTTTGTTTCTAGTTTTTGGGTTTTTCTGCTGGCAGTAAGATGATTTAATAAACCTTTGGCTTTGATAGTTTAATATGTCCTTGAGAAAAAGACACACACACACACACGACCTTTTGGGGAACTGCTCTTATTAAAAGATTATCTTGTGATGTACTTTGAATATGCCCTGTGCAAAGTGTGGATAGTGTTCCTTTATAGGGGCGTTAGTGAATGCCAGATTTACGGAAAAGTTAGAAGCTGAAGTATGTAGGTTTGGCCTGTATGAAGAAAAAACTGTCACAAACGTTTTTAAAAGTAAAAAACAGAAGCATTTGTTTCATCAACCTAACCATGTTCTTTATGCACTCGTTATAGGATTTTTATATTACTATGGGAACAGGCTGTGTGTTTTTGTTGGCATCCATCATTTTCGTTTCCACACATGACAGGACCAAAGCTGAGATCGCTGCAACTGTGAGTACCTTGTATTTCGAACCCTTGCTTAGTTTTGTTTCCTTAGAAATATGGAACTTGGAAAGTACTTGACAGGTGATACAATATGGGAGAGTAGTTTATCTTGTAATTTTTTAGTGTAATTTTGAACAGAGGACCGAAGAACAAATAAATTGGATAGCCTTAGAAACCGAGAACCTGTCTTTAGACTTTAGAATAAAAACCCATTTACTCCACATATGAACGTGTCACTGCTAATGGAAGTGGTAGAATTGACTTTATTATCCCGTACTTTTCTACTTTGCGGTCAGCAAAAATATACCCACATGACAGGTGCTGTTCTAGGTGTAGAGAATACACAGGAGAAATGATCCAAAGATTCAGCCTTTATAATAAAAGAGATAGATAAGTAAATGTCTTTATCTGAAATCCTTGGGGAGGGGGCAGTTTTGTTTTGTTTAGAATTCAGAATATTCTGGTTTTTAGAAAGGTAATCTTACACATATCATATGACAACTTCAGAGGACCTGGGGCAGCACCCTATAATCAACATGTTAATATTTCTGAAGCATGAATATTCACAGTAAAAAGGATAAAGACTGTAAGTAGTTTTACCTCGTGCCACTTTTGAGCCCAGTAAATTATGAAAACTTTACTTTTGTAGCTTTCTGGATTTGAGAATTACAAATCAAGGATCATGCACCTGAATTGGTACCAGTGTTGTGAGTGTGTATAACTGATAACTGAGTAACAAATCCGCTTGCACGTCAGCTGGGTTCCAATTAATCCTTGATTCATGACAAAACTGAAGTTATAATTAATTGACTTGTCAGCGAGTAGATCATTAAAACTACTTTTTAATTACAGAACAACTCAAAAGGAGTTCAGAGCCTTGCATGGTTCTACCTGTTCACATGAGCACAGTTTATTAACACACGTGTAAAACATAAAACAGAAATTAAATTAATGCTGAACCTTGACTCATTCCAGCAGTAAGTAATATTTCTGCATGGGCACATGAACCAATGGGTACATGAAGAGAAAAGTCAAAGTTTTAACAGACCCTTTGGTTAATTTCAGTTTATATACATATTTTTGTTGTGGAGGAGTATTAATAAGGGTGATCAGTAAAATGTTTTGCGGTGTGGAAATGTATTACTATAAAATCCTTGGAGGGGGGCACCTGGTTGGCTCAGTCAGATGAGCGGCTGACTCTTGGTTTGGGCTCAGGTCATGATCTCAGGGTTGTAAGATTGAGCCCTTGCCTTGGGCTCTGTGCACAGCAGGGAGTCTGCTTGAGATTCTCTCCCTCTCCCTCTGCTCCTCCCCCAGCTTGCTTGCTCTGTCTCTTTCTAAAATAAATAAATCTTTAAAAAATAAAATAAAATCCTTGGAGGAAGTGAAATAGAGTTGAGGAAAGTTGAGTTGAAGGGGGAAAGAGAGCATGGCATGAAATTACCAGCTATTAAAACAGAGCTTATTGGTATGTGACAATTAGGTGATGTGTTAGATTAGTGCAGTATTTAGATTTCATTGGATATATTTAAGAGTTAATGGTAGTTTAAAAACTCAGTATTTATAATATGCTGTGGAAATCACCCTTTGTAACTATTTAAATTATGAAAACATTTACAGACTTGAGTGAGGGAATCCATTTAAAAAAAAAGAAATTGTGAAGTATGTGAGCAAAAGCTCTGGAAGATCATTTGTCTGGATGAGATGGCGTAGAGGGCACTGCTTGGACTAAAGCTCTCAAGGGGGTTAGGGATGGCTTCACAGACAGGGTGACGTCTGGTCTGTCCTTAGAGCATGTAATATGTTTGCCAGGCAAAGAAAGGGATAGATGCCATCAAGCCAAAATGAAGACTCCAGAGGGGAGAAGTGACTTGGGTTTGGAGATGTGGGATTGGTAATTAAATGTAGGTCGGATGTGTTGGGGCTATTGGGGTGAAATAATGAATTTGGAGTTGAGTTTGCTTTACCGTGAGATGAAGCAGAATGCATATTCTTTAGGATAGAGGGGTTGGGTGTGAAGGGTCAAGAAACTGGAGCAGACGACAACAAAATGTTAAAAATCTAGAACAGGGGCGCCTGGGTGGCTCAGTCAGTTAAGCATCTGCCTTCGGCTCAGGTCATGATGCCAGGGTCCTGGGATCGAGTCCCACGTCCGGCTCCCTGCTCAGCGGGGAGTCTGCTTCTCCCTCTCCCTCTGCCTGCCGCTCTCCCTGCTTGTGCGCGCTCTTTCCCCCTCTTCTCTCTGTGTCAAGTAAATCTGTAAAAAAAAATCTAGAGGGGTGCCTGGGTGGCTCAGTAGTTAAGCGTCTGCCTTCGGCTCAGGTCATAATCCCAGGGTCGTGGGATCGGGCCCCGCGTCAGGCTCCCTGCTCGGCGGGAAGCCTGCTTCTCCCTCTCCCACTCCCTCTGCTTGTGTTCCCTCTCTCACTGTGTCTCTCTCTGTCAAATAAATAAAATCTTTAAAAAAAAAAAAATCTAGAACAAAACTGCTGGTTACCAGAGGGGGGGTGGGTGAGGGGATGGGTAAATAGGTGATAGGGACGAAGGAGTGACTTGTTGTGATGAGCACAGGGTGATGTATGGAGGTGCCGAATCACAATATTGTACACCTGAAACTAATATTATACTGTATGTTAACTGGAATATAAATAAAAACAAACACTAATAAAAATCATGGAGAGATGGGGTGTTAGAGGTGGAAGAGACTTTAGCCATTACCTACATCAATTTTCTCTTTTAACAGAGCAGTTCTTTGGCCCCCATTCCTTTAATGGTTTTGCTAGTGAAGAGCTCTTCTTGACAGAATTCTCAGAATGTTTGATCCTATGTTAGAAGAGTACAATGAGGAAGTGATTTAAAGGAAGAGGAAGTAGGTAGTGGTATCATGTTGCTGTGTCATTATTACAGTGGGACAGTTAACTGGAAAATATTTTTTAGGTAATTTAACCTAAAAGTATCTTCAAAATAGAATTTCTGTTGATCAGTCAGTGGATATTGATTACTTCTTGCCATTGTCACCTGTGCTCAGCTCCCTACTCACTCATGTACCTTACCTCCTCTGTGGGTCAGTCTAACCATTGCTAATAATCTTGTGTTCTGTATCATTTTATAGGATTTTGGTTTTCCTCTATTAACCTTAGTTTCACAGATTGGCACCCCACACATACACGTGCACACGCACACGTAAGATAGGACATCTCTATTTTGGGAAACTTCAACTAATAGCCATTATTCTAGAATTTCTTTTTGTAACATCTATTTTTTGATGCCCTTAAAAAGTCTTTTATTACTAAGGTTAAGAATAATGTGTATAAGATAGGGACGCCTGGGTGGCTCAGTCAGTTAAGCACCTGCCTTCGGCTCAGGTCATGATCCTGGGGTCCTGGGATTGAGCCCTGCGTCAGGCTCCCTGCTCCGCGGGGCGTCTGCTTCTCTCTCTGCCCCTCTCCCCACTTGTGCTCTCTCTCTCCCTCCCTGCCCCTCCCCCGCTCATGCTCACTCGCTCTAGTGCTCTCTTGCTCGCGTGTTCTCTCTCTCTCTGCACGCTCTCTCTCAAATAAATAAATAAAATCTTTAAAAAAAAAAAAAAGGACGAGTGTGGGTAAAATTGATGAGTCGTCTTGCTTGTATAAAACACTCCCAGAGCCAAGTAGGAAGTGTGAGATTATATTCCAAAATCTGTCATATAAACCCTTGTTCTTTTTTCTCCTCAGGTGTTTGGATTTCTAGCAAGTATTATGTTCCTGTCTGACGTTGTCATTATGTTCTCTGACAGACGACAGGAATCCCAGATGAGGAAACCAGAGGCTACCAGGAGGGCAGGGGCCCTCACAGAACCCCTTAATGCTTAAGGACTTTGGGGACTGGGTGTTACATAAGGTATTGACTGTGTGGTGCCTGAGCCCTGGCCGCTTGTGTAGAATTTGTGTAATTGTTAAACCACTTCTTTTGGAGAGCAAAGGGAAGGGCAGGAAGGCAGTTTTATTAACATTGGCCTGTGTGTCAGTCACCACAAATTAGGCCAGAGAGTTTTTGGGTTTAAAAAAATTTTTTTTAAATAACAGTTAAAACTTCTGTCACATGAAATGGTTCTGTTTTTGTTTTGGAGGCAAGGACAGTTGTTTCTTTAAATCACATAGCTCAACTGATGATAATTTATTCTGTCATTGTTACTAGGCCTAGCTTTCAAATTAAGGCTGTACAGCCAGCATGATTAAGTTCATCCATTTAGAAATTGTTTTATTTTTAAATTAATTTGCTTAGCCAGGATTTTTTTTTTTGATGATCAGATAAAATTTAATGTATATTTAAGAGATCATATTTAAAATATTGGTCTAGATTTTTTTTCCCTTAAAAATGTAATACCCAGGCTTTACTGTATCTCAGCCTTAAAATTATATTGTTACATTTTAGGATAATAACTCTTTCTGAGACCTTTTATAGCCTGATAGAAACTGTATGGGAGGTGTTGGTATTTTATATGTATAAAAGCAACAACATCAGAAACCACATGTTTTTACTGCACTTTGGTGGTTGTTGATAAGCAAAAAAAAGTTTATATAACACATAGAAAAATGGAAGAAACTCTCATGGCTAAGGACCAAAGATAAAGAAGATAGACTTTTTGCACAATACAGTGAAAGTGATCATAAAAACAGCCTTCAACCATTTACCACTGTCTGAAGAGATAAGTTCATACTATGAGTTAGAAATTGGTCCATTCCCTTACTGGCATATGGTTATTTCTACTGAAGTTAATACAGCTCTGCAGGTCCCATTCAGAGTTTTCTTTGAAGCCTCCCCTCTTTTTAAAACCCCAGCCTTTGATTTTTCATCTATTTGAGATTCTCCCTTTTCAGTCTCTCTATCCACATGGTCCATACGCTGCTTTATCACCCGACAGAGGTGAGCCTCCAGCTCTGACTCTTGCTTGATGGCAGTGGTCTTAGGTGGTCCAAAATTTGGGGCCCTTTTAATTGCATAGAATATGTAGCAGGATCTTTAGGGTTCTTGTTCCCACATTGGACATTACTCTAACTTCTCTTTGGGGGAGCCCTTCTTAAGAAAATGAGCATCTAGCAAGTCCTGCCCAGGTTAATACTGATGTCGGTGTAAGGGAGTAGTCTACCCATTCTCAAGAGACACTTCATAACTAGTTCTGATAATTTGGGAGCATTGTCTCTTGCTGGCAGGTTGTCTTAGACCCAGCCAGACAAGGCACTCAAGACAGGACCTTTCTGACCAAGTGGTTCACAGGGTAGACCTCTCTTGTCCTCCTCTTGGATTTTTGACTCAGGACTCTAGAGTTAAGGCAATGAGCCCATGCGTAAGGTACTTCAGGACTTTGGTGGAGGTCTCCTGGGCTAGCTGGGCTGGGTTATCTATTGGAAGGAGTGGAATCATGTTTCCAGTGAGACAATTTTAGTGACCCTGTCCTTTTTAAATTTCTCACTTATGTGTTGTCGATGTGGCGAATGTGGTGGTCAGAATTCATCATTATGGCTAGACACAGCTTGTCCTGTGTCTTTACTGACTCAGGACCTTATCCCTTTGTACCAGAGCTCGGGTGCTAGCTAGTTCTGGTGGGTAGTCACCACTGCCTCCTCCCTGGGAGATAATGAAACCGATCACTGATGCTGTCGTTACTGGGCATACCATCCAAGAGAGGAGAAATAGCCTGGGTCTGGGCTCCAAGAATAAAGAGTGGTGCAAAAATAACTCACTTCTGGTCGTCAGGTTCTGGAATTTCCCATCTAACTGTACCACTGTCATTTGAAATACCATCGAGACCCAGCTGGGTTTCACAGCAAATGGTCTGGGCTACCTCAGCGGCCTCCCGCACGCATGGACTTAGTTGAGGTTGATGGACAAGTCCCCACCGGCCTCACACATGGAGCGCGTTGACATTGAGCTTCAGCTCTGCTTGCTCTGAGGCTTTGCTTCCATTTGTTTGATTGGAGCACAAGTGGGCCTCATAGCTGCCACTTAATCCTTCCCTTTTCGGGAAGATCATATATTCACTAGTACTTTTGGTCACTCTAGAACTTTTCTTCATATTGTTATGGGACTCATGACTGATTAGCCTCCCTCTTCTGTTGTAGAAGGAATGAGAGGAAAAAGACCATGTGGAAAATAAGTTTTCAAGGAGAACTTGGGACCAAAACCCCTCCTATGTCCAGAACAGGGCACACGCAAACTGAAAGTTATCATAATTTTTTATTAACAGCCATGTTAGACTTAATTTGTTATATTTTATACAAATAAACTATTTAGAGTGGTTCTTAAAAATTATAAGGGAAATGCACATACAGTATAAAAATTTTATAATTGCTGTACTTAAATTATGTTCTGTTTGGCGACTGGAAGATGTATTTTTACATTGTTTATAGCCAATCGCTTTTGTATTTATCAATTTAAATCCTTTGTGTCTTTTTTTTTTATCTCGCTCAGTGTCAAATTTCGTAGTCTTCTTTTTAAATAAATCCATTTTATTGTCTGCCTTTGTAGTTGTTTCATTGTTACTTCAGAAGCCTGATGCTCAGGGCGCCTGGGTGACTCAGTCAGTTAGGCGGCTGCCTTCAGCTCCGGTCATGATCCTGGAGTCCCAGGATCCAGCCCCACGTCGGGCTCCCTGCTCAGCGGGGAGTCTGCTTCTCCCTCTGCCCCTACCCCCTCTCCTGTGCGCGCTTTCTCTCTGTCTCTCTGCCTCAAATAAATAATAAAATCTTAAAAAAAAAGAAGCCTGATGCTGAGATGAAAACTTTCTCCAGAGTTCTAGGAGTTGGCTCTACAACTGTGGTAAGTCCCTGTGTCGAACCCTGAACTGTGGGTCCGCCCAGGTGTGGGGCACAGGAAACAAACCCTCTTCCTACCCAGGGGCCGCTCCTCCCGTTGCCAAGACGGAACACACCTTCAAACGATATTTTTAAGGAGCCATATAGGAAAAGTCACAAAGCAATAAACACCTTGAAATACTTGCAAAGAAGCACATTGGGACTCTCCCATCACATTTCTCGATGTGGCTAAACAATGCTAAAAACAAAATAGGCACGTTCTCTTTCAGACTGTCCAGTGACTGGGAAAGTGTGAAGCAAAACTAGGGTGGTTCTGAAAAAGCGGCAACTATCTGTGTCGTTTGCGGAATTCCTGCCTCCGGTCTGGACAAGAAGAACAAGATCTTTATTGTCATCAAGAACTCACTGGAATTTGTACATTCTTCAGAGTTTTGTGTTTTGTTTTGATAAAGAACATTGTGTATCAACGTGCAGTCAACTTCAAGGAGCAAAAAACCTGATTTAAATAGGTCTTAACCAGTAAGGAAAATGTCTTTCCTAAGAAGTCCAGGCAGGGCAGTTCTGTGACTGGTCAGAGTTCAGTGGCTCAGTGGTATTGTCAGGGTCCCAGACTCTTTCCATGTTTTTCTGCCCATCCATCTTCTGTGAGTTTTTATCCTTAGGATTGACCCTTTATGGTATAGTAAGATGGAGGCAACATGTCCAGACATCGTCCACTTGCACGACAATGTCCAAAGGCCCGAAGGGAAGAGATTGTGTATTTCTCTGTCCCTAAGTTGTTCCTTTTTCCCAGAAGCCCCTCAGTGGACTTCACCTACTTGTCTTTTACTGGAAGACTAAATGCCCATTTCTAAATCGCTTACTGACCTGGAGAATGGCATTACTGAAGAAATGGCCTAAAGTAATCCAGATTCCTCTCCTTAGATGGGAACACCCTTGGAAGCATATAGCCTTCCATTACCCGAACAGATTGGTTCTGTAGCAGGAGAAGGGCCACTGGCCTGGGGTTCAGCAGTGTCTGTCATAAGCAGGTTGAGGATCAGACCCCAGCTAGGGGAAATAAAATTCCCATTTAAGAACATTTTGCATGCCTGACTACCCCAAAACAATTTAAAATAGAAAAATGAACGGTTTTGATGTTTAGACTAAATTATAGTTGTAGAAGTAATGGGTACCATAGAAAATTGGTTTAATAAAAGATGGTAAGTATTGTTCTTTTCCTGAGATCTTCACTTTTAATTGTGGAACTACGTCAAGCACCGGAAGTACGGAAGATATTACCCTGTTGTGGACACCACCCAGCTTTAGTAGATCCTAACTTTTTACCAGATTTTCTTGAAAGGTCCTTGTTTAAAACAGACGAAGTTTCACTTGTGAAGTACCACCACCTCAAATTTTGCTCTTTTTACTTTTCCAAAGGCAAACACTACCTTGAATTTGGTGGCTATCTTTCCTGCTTTGTCATCTGTGTTCTCAATAGAGATGTACCCACAAGCAATGTACAACATGGTACCTATGCCTTATCCTTTTACAGATGGCTTTCTTCACTCAGTAGTATTTTGAAATGTATCTGATACATGCAGCTCTAGTTCGTTCATTTTAACTACTCCTTGGAATTCCATTGAATGGATATGCCACAATTTACTTACCTCTCCTCTGTTGATAGAAAACTTTTAATGTGGTTTATTTTTGACCGTTTCAACCAGTGTTGCAGTGAACAAACGTATTTGAACATCTCACGCATATGTGCAAGAGTTATATGTAGAGTGTGTACTTAGAAATAAAACTGTTGGGTCACAGGTTGTGTGCAATTCCAACACGGCAAAATACTTCCAAAGGGTCTCCAAAGTGGAGACTTCTCAGCAGGGTACGGGGGTGCTTGTTTCATTATTCTTGTCTTGCACTGAGTGTTAGTTCGGCTGAACAGTTCTGAGCTAGGATGGAAGTGGTCTCTCATTTGATTGTACACTCTCCTTATTATGGGTGAGCCTGATCATCTTCTCATTTGGTTGTTGACCTTTTAGGCTTCCCCACATCAAAGAGTTGCTCGTTCATAAGCTTTGCCTTTCTTTCACATTGAAGTTTTTTTTTTTTTTAACTCATTTGAGAATTTTTGACATACGGATGTTACCCTTTGTTAGTAATAAGCCTTGGGAATATCTTCTCAACGTCTGTATATTTTAACTTTGTGTCTTTGCTTATTGATTCATGTTACCTCAAGGTCAGAGATGTTCTCTGCTTTCTAAAATGTTTAAAGATTTGCATTTTATATTTAGTACTTGAATGTACCTTGATTTCTGTGTGTGGTGTGAATACCGCATGCCATCTGATTTCTTGTGTTAGCAAGTGACTCTTGGCTCCTCTAAGAGACAGTGCCCCCTCTGTCACTTACCAGGTTTATGTATATGTGCGGGTCCAGGGCTGGCTTTCTTGGGCTGTTTTTCCATACCTAGGCTAATACCACAGTCTTGATAAAGTGTTAATATCTAATAGGACAAGTTCAAAATTGTTCTATCCTTGGCACTTTTTAAAAAAGATTTTATTTACTGATTTGAGATAGCACGAGTGGGTTGTGTGGGGGCAGAGGGAGAGGGAGAAGCAGACTCCCCACTGCAGCCTGATGTGGGGCTCGATCCCAGGACCCTGGGATCATGACCTGAGCAAAAGGCAGATGCTTAACCAACTGAGCTGCCCAGGCACCTCTATTTTAAAGAATTTTTTAAGAATAGTTATAGGTTTGCAGTAGAATTGAGAGAAAG